GGTAACATTAATGTGTTTAAATTGAAGCTACATCAATGGTTGAGGAAGAAAGAAATAGAAGGATACATTGGCAGGGTGAGATGAAATAGATTGGGGAGAGATTGGTTCTTAAAAATGCTGGCATAGATCTGTTGAGTTGAATAATCTGTTCTATCTGTAAAGTTGCGCGTAATTCTACGTGTATTTTTTACATTGTCACCTTGTATGACATGTACTATTAAAAACCTGATGTAGTGTATGATGCTTTTTGTTTGTGTTATCTTTTTCCTCACAGAACTGATGGAGATTTCACTCCTAGGAATCACTGTACCAATCATGTGGTTTTACCTGGTGCTCAATGTTCTAACTCAGTATCCTTTTCATCATTGAGAATCCATGCTGATATCTCTCTACTGTCTTCAATAAAAGGGAGGTATCTCTATCCCTAAGATTTGAGGTTGGAGCAATATCTTCCAAATTTCTGCCTGCCTTTAGTTGGAGTGAATAGTAGATTATCTTGCTGCTAGTTCTCCCATCATATTTATATTATCCATAATACATAACATATTACTCTAGACCAACGTAATGCCAAAGTCATATCAACTCATACCCTTTGCTCTTACGCCCTCTGTGTTAAATTGCCCACCCGGTATTCATCATGGGTAAATTGTAGGAACTAATCTGACATAAGATAAATTGTTCGACGTATTTATTACAGACATCACTATATGAAATAAGTCTGCTCATTTGATGAAAGTCCAATCAATATTTGTAGCTCCTCATGTACTTAATCCTAATCAAAGACAGCTAACCCTTAATAACCTCTTGCATCTAACAAACAGTAGTGGATTAGGAACACAGAGACAGCTGGAGGAGTGGCACTAAGATGCAATGGCTTCCTGAATTGTACAAGCCTAATATCTAGCAGAAATGTAGTTGTGTCGCATGACTCCGTTGAATGTGATTTGCTTTTCATTCATTTAGTCTAATTGCAAAATGAAATTCAAGAAATAGGTTTTCCCAATGAAGAACAGTTTACAAGTGTGTGGTGGAACAATCTAGTTTTGTGACAAAGTAACAATTTCATATTTTGTCCTTAACTTCTTGCCTTCTCAGATACATTTGCATCCGTGGTGTTTTTATTCTCACAACAGAGTGCACATCCCTGACAGTCACACTTGTTGTCACACTTCGCAAGTTCATCAGTCTCATTTTCTCTATTGTCTACTTTAAAAACCCCTTCACCTTCTGGCACTGGATTGGGACGGTGGTAGTTTTTATCGGGACTCTCACTTATGCCGAAGTTTGGAACACATTCAAGTTGTTGTTCCACAGCAAGAGAAAATTGCAATAATTCACTTCAGCACAGTATAACCGGGTTCAGGCATTCGGAGAAAAATAAGTGACTATCAAGAATAAATTTTAATTCCGAACTTTCCTGTGAAAATGCTATTTTTGTAAATGTATGATTTGTCTCATTCCCTTAGTGAATTTTTGATCTGGCCATGTCAGTTCTTTCTATTGGATTTGAAGGTACTGTTTTTGTAAAAAAAAAAATGACAGAACCATGTGAAGGCACTTAAAATAATGCTTAAAAAGTACCATAGTGATTAGTTTTTTTTTTCAAGTTTGGTGCTATAACTTTTTATTTAAACATTTTGGTTGTAAAATTTGGCTTCACAGCACTGTTGGTTTCACAGCATGGAAACTTAGTGAGAAAAATATTGGCAGGGGATCCGAAAGCACTGATCATGATTTGACTGACAGTAATGTGTGGATGCTGTCATGTACTGACAATGTGCAGAGTAAATAGACTGCCACCTGATCTGACATTTTGGTTTTGTTACTATCTGTTAAACACACATCTGAATGTGCATTCAGTTGCACCAAGAACCCCAAACCTGTACTATTTATAGGTATCACTGTTCAGGTTTCAGGTAAGGGGGTGTTTTTGTGACTATATTTTTGCGATACTGTGTCACTGGGGAAAATAAATTCTTTTTTTAATCAGAAGGCTTTCAAAGGCAAGGAGGTGTTTGAAACATCATGGCTCATGTTGGCCTTGAGTGTATCACCAGATTCCTGTTCCCCTGGAAAAAAAAACCCAGCCCCTGTTTCTCCAGGCTTCCTCCTCTTTCCCTCCCACTTGTCCAGACAATCACATGTTCTCTTGGTCTAAATCCTGAAACAAAACACCAAAAAATCAGCCATTCCATGCCAACTTTTTGTAACATTTCTAATAATACATCGAATACCTCATTGCTCACCTTTGTACTTTCCCTTGGGGCATTTGTCTGGTCTAGTGTTCCTACACAGTGCTACCTCAGTGATAACTGCACTGATGTCTGACAGATGGTAGGCTGCTGAAATACATGGGTGGAGGGAAGACTGCAGATGGCTTTCAGGATGCTGTTGAGCAGCTCTGGCATTGAGGGCCTATCTCCAGACTGTACCAGCTCAGCAGCAGCAGTGGCAGAAGCACCAATGCTGTCATCCTGAAACAGACAGCAGGTCTGTGCTCCACAGAACCACTCATACTTCGCCAGAGTGGAATTTCAGTAATCTACAGATTCTATAGTACAAACTGCTATGATACCCAGCAAGGCTATTTAAGCATGTTTTCCCCAACATGATGCCAACAAGTAAACTGCTGTCCAGGTTCCTATTGCAGAACTCATCCATTGATTGATTTCTGCTTATGTTACATGAGTTCATGCATTGACCATCACACGTGTCCAAAAATGTTGCCTTGAATGGGCTGCAAGGTTTGTGCAAATCCCTGCATCAGTTTACAACTGGATTTCTCCACACTCCTTGACAGCGATGACAAGCTGTCTCGCAGACCTGCCAGGCCATCAAATGGACTTTTTACCCTATCAGTCTTTTACTTTACCTCATGGAAGTTTCGTCTGCAGCAAAATTCATCTGCAATTTTGTGCTTGTCTGAAGAACCTCCTGGCCCACTACAGAAGTATAACCTCTTTTCCTTTGCCCCTATTGAACTGAAGCCTCTAGTGACACATCTCCTTCACTTTAATTTGCTACTCCATAGGTGCACTTCTTTCCTGCTTGGGAAGTTTCTCCTAGTTAATTCTAGCATCTGCTGCAGCCGAGGGTATCTGGCTTCTCTGTTGAGTATCTAGCCACTAAGTGTGCTTAACGTTGGGCTGCACATCGCGTGCGTGGAACTATCGAGGGTGGGGTAATTATCCTTCATGATCTCCATGCCCACTAATAGGCATTATTGCATTCGATTGCATTTAATCTTTGACAAGGCTGGATTCAGTACTGGGGAACTGGACAGTATAAGTAGATTAACAGATTGGGTTAATGGACTGAGGGTTTGGGAAGTGTTTTGGGTTAACAGCCAGTTTGCGTGGTGTGGTGGTTTAACACACGGTCTGGGTGATGAAGTGAGATAGCATTCGAGGTCTGGTGATGTGATGGATTAATGGACCGAGGGTTTGGGTATTGTAAGAGGCAAACACACTGAGGGACTGGACTGTGCAGTGGTCTGTATGGCCGTCTCCTGCTCTTTGATTTCTTGGAGGTGTGGAGTCACCATTTATATGAAATGTTAATTTAATTGTATAGAATAAATGTCAACAATATATAATGTGTACAGTGTTTGTACAGTGTACTGTACCAACACTCTGTAGAGTTGATTAATTTAGATAGTTAAAAGGCAGAAACTTAAATTGAATGAATTTATCTAAGAAAGAACCACCTATAGATAATGTTCTGTTGGAACACCTTTACTACTAATTCTTTTTATGTTGAAAATATGTGATAATAAAAGTTGTTACATTCAGTGAATCACTGAATTTTCACACAATTCTCAATAGTACAAAGACTTGGGATGAATATCTACACAATCTTTGCTGCACTTCAAAGGTAATTCATTATGTGAAGCTCTCCAGTGTTTACATGAAAGTGCAGTATAATTGTAACTATTTGTTTTACAACTATAAAGGACTGGTATTATCAGAAATGCCAATGGTAGTGACTTTATTAATAGACAGTTTTCTGAAATGAAAAATCATTGCTCACTTTCTTTGCCCCTGTCCTCCCTTATCTCAGTGAAACTTGTTTTTGTTTAATCATCTGCAAAATCAATAACCAAAGACCATCACCCAGACTCTCTTTTCCAGCAATGTTATAATGATTTATACGGTTCAAAACGTCTGCCTGGGGATATCCATTTTGTGTGCCACCCTCCCTTCATAAACTGCTAAGTGGGGGGTATTCCTCATTTATGATGTCAAATCAAGTTATCCACTGTCTGCCTCTGGCGTTAAATGGCTACCAAGGATGACTTAAAACTGGTTTTAAAAAAAGCAGTTGTTTTGCCTTCAAAGCAGTTGGACCTCTGTGACATATCTATAGATAAACCTTCGTCTTGATGAGGCTGCTATTAAGGATACCTGATTGATTTTTTTTTTCGTTTGTCTGAAATCCAATGCAATGTAATATGTATTGATCAGCCTGCTCTTTTGAGCTCAGTGTCTCAACCTGTTTTCATCTGTAGTATAGTGCATTGTGTCATCATGTTACCTCAATAAAGTGCACATTGTTCAATTTCCTTTTTTTGTTTGCTTGTCCAAATTATAGTTAGTTTCCTGATTGACAGTCAGATCGAAATCAATCTTGAATTCATCAATAGCCCTTCATCATCCTTTAGTCTTGCATTGTTAATTATCTTCCACCTATTCTGGGCAATTTGTGGTTGCAACAAATTTATCCTGTACAAAGGAATGGGTGGAAACTTCAATATGCACAAACCTTTTCGAGGAATTCACACCAACCAGTCCTTTGTGTTGGGGTGGGTTAAGGCACTGAAAGACTGGTGTGATAAGCTGACTGCCTTCCGCTCTCACTGAAAGTGTGGAGTTGCCGTGTATAAAGAAATGAGAATTTCATTGCATAATAGTTAGCAGTATATATGAATATGTGAAAAGGCCAAACCCAAATAGGAAGAAAGAAATTACATTTCAAAGGATACTGTCAACCACTAAATTGAATCAGCAACAGACCAGTTTATTCCTTGGGAGCCAGAACTGGCTCTAGTGGATTATGGGTGCTAAAATAACAGTTCAAGAAAGGAGAGAGAGAAAACAGGCCAGTTGACTTGTCAGGAATTGCTGGGATACTCTCAAAGAAATGGCAACAAGGCACTTAAACAACAGTCAATGTGATTTTATGCACACAAAGTTACAATTAAAGATCAACCCTCCAAAGAGCATCCCACTCAGACCCATCCCTCTACCCTATACCTGTAACCCTGCATTTGTTATATAATTCATGTCTGTCAACAGCACTGATGTCTACTTAAAGAGCAAATACAAACAATTTCAAATTTGTTTTTGGAATGTGTGTATCTCTGGCAAGGCTGGCATTTGTTGCATATTCCAAATTGCCATTGAGAAGGTGATGTTTAGCCTTTTATTTGAACCACTGTATACCAAGAACTAGATTCCAGAAAATAACAAGAATCTGACCAAAGAAATCAAGCTCCTCTAGTTCTGTAGCCTTCTGAAATCCCCATACTTTTCCAAATCTTGCCTTTTGTGACATCTCACTTCTCATTGCTCTACCACTGACCAGTGAAATCCTGATGAAGGAGCAGTGCTTTGAAAGCTTGTGATTTTAAATAAACCTGTTGGACTATAACCTGGTGACGTGTGATTTCTGACTTACTGCTGCCTAAGCTTTGGAATTTCCTTCCCAAAGTCCCATTATGTTTTCCTCTCTCTTTCACTCTCTCATCCCTCAATCGCTAAATCCTTCTTCTGTGATCAAGCTTTTAGTTACCTGTCCCAATGTGGCTCGATGTCTTATAATATTCTTTTGGAGTATCTTGGGATGTTTTTACCATGTTATGGCCAGTATGTAAGTTATAAATGTTGTAATTGGAGACAGAGAAGTAGAGAGTGATAAGTAATAAAGCAAATTACCAATAATAGTACTTTTAACATTTGTATTACAGGTACAGTTTTAAGTCTGGAGTTAAAAATTTTTTTTAAATTTTCATTTTAATGTACAGACAGCTTGCTGTGGACTGTCAGGGATCTCAGCTCTTGTTCGCCCTGATGGAATTGGAGGCAAAATAGGCTTGATGTTAGATCCAAGTCGCGGAGAAGGAGATGGGGTATTTCGGATTGAAGAACATTTGGATGTAACATTTTCTTCTTTACATGGTTCTGGCCTTGCTTCCTCTACAGTGAGTAAAGAAATCTGATCACCTACATGAAAAAAACCACAATAAATAATTGAATAATAACTTGTCTTTTTCAAAAAAAAAGCAATATGTTTTGGTGAACTTCTCAAATCTCCCTCTTCCACAATCCCTTCCCTTCCCAAGTGCATGCATCCCAATCTCTATTTTTTTGAAAAGGAAGAATCTATCTTTCATTTTGATGAATACATTTTTTGTTTAAAAAAAAGACTCAAAAGGAATAAGCAATCATTTTGCAGCTACTGAAATAGTTGATTTGTATGTTGTAGTTTTCTCATTGAAAGAACATTCCTTCCAGAACAAAACACAAGTGACAGATAGCAGGAAAAACATATTCACTTCATTAACGATAGACTGAACATGATGGTTGTGCACTGGATCAAATTCATCTCTGGCACCACCCCCTTCCCATCTCTTACTGCAAATTACTAATATGAAAGCATGAGGTATGGCCTATGTGATTTCTCAATCGGAGGAAGGGAAAAACATTAGAGAGTTGGTATTCTGCTGTAACCATTTGTGTACAGATACATACATTAATAAGCAGAATAGGACAATCAAGTCTGTGATGGCTCTTTTAAAAGCAAGGTGCAGAGCTGGATGAACACAGCAGGCCAAGCAGCATCATAGGAGCAGTAAGGCTGACGTTTCGGGCCTAGACCCTTCATCAGAAATGGGGGAGGGGAAGGGGGTTCTGAAATAAATAGGGAGAGGGGGAGGCGGATAGAAGATGGATAGAGGAGAAGATAGGTGGAGAGGAAACAAACAGGTCAAAGAGGCGGGGATGGAGCCAATAAAGGTGAATGTAGGTGGGGAGGTAGGGAGGAGATAGGTCAGTCCAGGGAGGACAGACAGGTCAAGGGGGCGTGATGAGGTTAGTAGGTAGGAAATGGGAGTGCGGCTTGAGGTGGGACGAGGGGATAGGTGGGAGGAAGAACAGGTTAGGGAGGCGGGGACGAGCTGGGCTGGTTTTGGGATGCGGTAGGGGGAGGGCAGATTTTGAAGCTTGTGAAATTCCATCCCAGGCCCCAAGAAGACTTTCCACATCAAGCAGATGTTCACCTGCACATCTGCTAATGTGGTATACTGCATCCGCTGTACCCGTTGTGGCCTCCTCTACATCGGGGAAACCAAGCGGAGGCTTGAGGACCACTTTGGAGAACACCTATGCTCGGTTTGCAATAAACAACTGCACCTCCCAGTCGCGAACCATTTCAACTCCCCC